GGGAATCAATAATGATACTGATTGAGACTATTAGTAATTTTAGTAAAGGTGCAGTCTACAAAATCCTCAAAAATCAACAACATTTCTATGTAATAGTAACAAGACAAAACAAACAGTAATAGAAAGGCAATTCTTATTCCAAATACCTATAAGATGGTTAGACTGTCTGGGGATCAACCTACCAAAGGTTATAGAAAACTTGTATAGATTCAATTGCAAAGTACTCCTTAAAAAAATAGAGAACAATTTAAATAGCTGGAGGAATATTCAGTGTTCATGATTAGGCCATGCCACTATAATAAAAATGACAATACTACCAAAATTAATTTACACTTTTAATGCTATATCAATCAAATTACCAAGGAGGTACTTTACAAAACTTAATCAAAATAATAATAAAATTAATTTACAAAAACAAAAATATCTAGAACATCAAGGGCAATTATGTAAAGAAGTAGAGCAGAAGAGGAAAATAGCACTTCCAGACCACAAACTACATTATGTGTACCTTTAGAAAGAAGTCTTTCTTGGTCTTTCTGTTGTCATTCTGTTGTTGTATACATTTATTCACTTCTCTTGGAGTTTTGTTGTTAAGGGTGTTTGAGAAGCAACTAATCTCTTCAGTTGTAATTTTCTTTCTAAAAATGTTTCTAACTTTATTATTGAACAACCATCTTTTTTCTTGTATAGTTAAGCTCAGATTTGCCAGGTAGGTCACCCTGATATTTGTTTCTTCTCCTCCTGTTAGAATATTAGCATTAGATCATAGTGCAGCATCTGCCAATTGCTCAAATTGGTTTTCTGGACTCTTGCTGTTCAAAGTTCCTATTCAGTTCTGGTCTTTTATTTAAGCATTAGAAAATGCTTAAAAGTCTTCTATTCTATTAAAGGTTTATTTTTCCCCCTTGTAGGATTTTTTCTCAGCTTTGGCAGGTCAGTTTTTCTTGGTTGTAAACCTTTCTCTTTTGCCTTTTGGAATGTTGTATTTCAACATTTTTAGTAGAAGCTGACAGGCCTTGTGTGAGCCTAATTATGATTCATTGGAACTTGAACTCTTTTCTTAATGCTTAAGGTATTTTGCCTTTGATGGGAGCTCTAAATTTTTACTGTAACATTCCTGGGACCTGGGACTTTTGCTTTTGGGCTTCCTTCCAAGAGTTAATAGGTGGATTATTTCTGTTGTTACCCTCTGGTTCTAATAGTTCTGGTCAGTTTTCATTTTTCATTTCTTGAAATCTGGTATCAAGGGTGGGGTCTATGATCTCAGCTACTGGGCAATCTGAGGATAAGGGGGATCTCTTGAGCTTGAGAATCACATCGAATTTGTGCTGATTGGACTTCTAAACTAAGTTGAGCATTAGTAGGGTGAATAAGAGGCCCCCAGTGTATCCAAGGAGTTGCAAACCAGCCAGGGTTAGAAATAGAGTAGGTCAAAGCTTCCATGTCTATCAGTAGAAGGATTGGACGCATGAGAAGCCCATATACTTTCAGTCTAGGTAAGATAGAGAGATGACTTTCAAAAGAAGGAAAGCAGCATAGAAAGAAGAGAGAGGAAATAAGTGAAATATAGTGTACAGCCCCCACCTCCACCCCCCTTTTGTTTAATCATGGTTTTCAGAGAGTCCAGTGATTCTTTTTTTTTTCCTTGCTTTTTGGTGAGGCAGTTGGGGTTAAGTGACTTGCCCAGGGTCACACAGCTAGTAAGTGTCAAGTGTCTGAGGCCAGATTTGAATCCAGTGGTTCTTAAATAGCCTTTCCTCGGCCTATTTTCTAGGTCAGTTGTTTTTGATAATTTCCAACTTTTTTAATCTTTTGATTTTGTTCTAAGATTTCTTACTGTTTCGTAGAGTCTCGTTGATTTCTATTTGGTCTCTTCTGATTTTTCAGAGATTCCTTCCTTGTTCACCACTTACTTTAAGCTTTCACACTTTTTCTTCTAACTTATTCCCCTAATTCTTTCCTCAAAAGGTTTTTTTTTTCCCTTACTCTATTTCTTCTAGGTTGTCAAGTAGTCCTGTGGCAAATCTGTTTTTTCTTTTGAGTCTCTGGATATGGATTTAGTGGATATGGAGTTAGATTTGTAATAATTTTTTCATATTAGTTAGTGTCTTCTTTATTTTACTCACCTCTCTAGCTTTAGTTGTAAATTGTGACTTTGTGGCAGGTGCTGGGTCCCCACCCCCTCCTGGGCTTTTGGAAGGAATATTCACTCTACTTCTACTCACCCTGGGACTCCTGGGTTCTTGTGTTGACCTCTGCTTCTGGGAAACCAGGTCTCTATTCCACTTCTGCCTCCTGCCCTGGATCTTTGAGCTTCACAATTCTTGATTTTGGGGGCTTTGTCTGGTAGTCAGGATAAGAGTACTACCTAGGTCAGAGCCATTGGAACCTGGGCTGAGTCTCAGCACTGCAGTGCCAGGGTGGTTGCTAACCTTGATAACCCAACCCTGAGGTTAATTCAGCAGAGCCCTCTGCTCTTATTGGTTCCCAAGGCAGGCTTGCAGGCTGTACATATCATCCTAGTGCTTATGCCTGCTTGGCTGGAGGAGCCCCTTTTCCTATTGCCCAGGGCTGACTAGGTGAAGACCTGGTGTGGAAGAGATCACTTTTTTTTTTTTTTAAAGGCAATCAGGGTTAAGTGACTTGCTCAGGGTCACTCAGCTAAGTGTCCAAGGCCAGATTTGAACTGGGGTCCTCCTGACTCCAGGGCTGGTGCTCTCTCCACTGCACTATCTAGATCACCTTTTGTAATTTCTTTATGGATTTCTTAAGCAATATTTGTTCTGGTGTGAATTTTAGGATTTTTCTAGAGTACCTGTATAGGAGCTAAGTAGGTCTGCCATTTGTTAAGGAAGTCTGTTGGCCAGAATTCTCTCATACGTTAGAGTTACTGTGGGAAGCATTTATGTAAGAAATGAGAAACAAGGTCCTCTCACAGCCATAATTTCGGGGCTTCAGGAAATGTCAACAATTATCTAGTTCCATTTGGAATAAAGTACCCTGATTTTAAATTGTTAATGTGCATAGTGTTGTTTATTTTTTTTTTAATAGTTAGGAATTTTTCAAGCAGTCTTCAGTTAAGTCTTGTGACTTACAAATCCAAGATTTGAAATATTATTTAAGCAAATTTAAGCATTTTACGTCTAAGATAATTTTTGGCAAGAGAAGCTACTGTGTGGTAGAAAATTGAGCAAAAAATAAAATATAAGTAAATTTCCTATTTCATGACATTTATTTGTCAGTTGGTTACTTTAATGTTGAATAACAAATCAAGAAATAATTTTTTACATGTTTAGTTTAGATATTGTTTTGATTTTTCAAATTTTTCAATATGACAGAATTTTACTAGAAATCCATTTCCTAAACTCATGCACTAATAGTAGAAATGTACTAGAAAAGGATGTCTGGAAATTTAACATTGTGGGGGAATTTTATACAGCACTAGTTAAGAGTACAAGTAGTTTAAATGAGCTTTACTGTTTCATAAAATTTCTATTATATAATATGCTAAATGTATTCAAATCATTCTTAGGTTTTATATAATTCAGTTTTATGGGGAATAAATTTAGGAATACAGTAAAATCACATTAAATTGTACCATACTAATTTGAAATTGGTTGCAGCAATACTTGTAATAGTATATGCATAAGTTGACAATTTCTTCTGTGATATTTTAGGTTCTTATTTGTAAATAAGAAGATAATCCAAAACCATTGTGCATTTCCAAGCAAGAGTTTAAGAAATTGAAAATTTTTTTCAATTATGGGTTCAGGATTTTTCTCTAGTAAAGGCCTTTCTGTTTGTGGCATGAGAAGCAGTGTTCCCTATATGTTAGAGAGATGGCCTTCAGACTAGGAAGACCTAAATTGAAGTGCTGCTTCTGATATGTAGTGTCTTTGTGACCATGGGGAACTTATCCTCTAAGTGTGCCAGGTTCACTCCCCAGGTTGCACTATCAGTTGCAAAGAAGGTGCTAATATGGTATGATGAATTTCCTTATCCAGAGTTCCCCATGCCAATAAAATTACGGATCTGATTTCTAATCCCCTATGGTGGTGGTATACTGTATTTTGAAGAGGCATCGCAGTATTGAAAATCACTGGATTTTCAGGGTCAGAAGATTTAATTTCAACCACTCTGATGACCTTGCACAAGTAATTGAAGGAAACTGATTCACCATCTACCTCACAGTTGCCTTCAAAGTACATTGTAAACCTTGAAGGTTCACTTATGAATATGAGCTTTTATTCTTATGTCATTTATGCCTATTTTAATCATGTTTTGTTTACCATTTGAGTCTATGGATAGTACTTGAATGTGGTTTTTTTTAATTTTTATTTTTTTTAAGAAAAAATCTATGTTTTTACTTGGTCAATCTAGCCTCCCACTTTTGTTTTCTTAAGAGTGTGTGTGTGTGTGTGTGTGTGTGTGTGTGTGCACGCGCGCGCGAGTGTGAGTGTTTTGGGTGGGGGGAGGGTGGGTAGTATATACTTCTTTTGGCATCTTAATATAGAAAATGGGCTAGAATTCTGAGTACCCCTTCTGGCCATTCAGGACTCATGGCATACAGAGCTAACCTTAGAGTCAAGAAGACCTGGGTTTAAGTCCAGCCTTTAACGTATGGCAAGTGATTTAAAGTCGCAATGTTTCAGGCAGCTCTCTAAGATTAAAAGTTGTAAAGTAGGTGCAGATGTAGGATGGTAAAAGGAGTTTCTGCCTGGGAAGTGTCCTCCTCCCCATCCCTAAATAGAATGGTAGGTCCAATAAAAGACAAAATAGCACAACCTTTTTGAAGTAGACTGAATTTTTAAAAGTGGTCCTTTGGTGACTTGTCTGGTTTCAGCAGGATATGTTCTTCCTTTTTTAAAAAGCAACAACATACGTTAACTCAGTTTTTTTAATTGCCTTTTTGGGGAAGGTGGAGGCATATAAAGTAGGCAGTACAGAGTCATTTTAGAGTGTTCTGAGACTGTGTCACAGCTTTCTCAAATTTGTTGTAGTTATGCCAAGAAGGAATCTGATCTCAATGGTGCCCAGATTAAGCTTAGAGAATATGAGGCTTCGCTGAATTCCAAAGAGGCTGCCTTGGCTACAGCACTGGGAGACAAGAAGAGCCTGGAGGGTGACGTGGAGGAGCTAAGGGACCAAATTGTGCAGGTGAGATAAACTGAAGTCCTGCATTCAGGACATGACAGTAGGTTAACTGTCCTGTCGTTGTTAATTCTTTGTAGTCTGCCCTTGGCCAGAGTTGGATTTTAAAAAAAAAAGTCTTGAGGTTATTAACAAAGAAAAATACAGTTAACTTAACAGTTATTCATGGACTGATCATCCAGTTTATGGATTAAGTAGTTTTTTTTTTTCCTTTTCGTCTTTCCCCTAAGGTGACCTTGTGATACAATGGGAAGAGCCTGGGATTTAGAGTCAGAGGACCTGGGTTCAAATCCTAACTTTGCCACTGTTTGACCTTGGGCAAGTTACTTAATTTTTCTGGGTGTCATTTTTCTTATCTATAAAATGTGGGGATTAAATTATAAGAGCGTATAATATCCCTTCCAGCTCTAATTCTATGACTCTAAGACTCCACAGGCGCTAACTCCATTTTTATCCCTTCTTATCCTCTTTATTCATTCCTCCTCATTTCCATCTCCTGGCTTCTCTGACTTCTAAAGATCTTAGCAAAAATCCTACCTTTCTGCAAGAAGCCTTTGCTAATCCTCCTTAATACTAGTGCCTTCCCCCAAGCTTGTCTCTGTGTCTTCTTGGTACATTGGGTTTTTTGTTTGTTTGGAGTTTCTTTTTTTGCACGTTCTCTCCCCCATTAGACTGTAAGTTCTTTAAGAGCAGGAGCTGTTTTTTGACTTTTCTCTGTATATGCTACTCTTAGCACAATGCCTGGCACAAAGTAAATGTTTAATAAATGCTTGTTGACTTGACTTGCTTACTTTTCAAAAATCGAGGTAAATAGAGTCATAATTACGCTGCTCTGATAAAAGGAAAAGGATAAAATAAATGACCAAAATTAAAAACTTGAATTTCCAATTCAGTTAAAAAAATTTCCATTCAGAAAATATTTCTTAAACTCCTTCTGTGTGCCAAGACATTTTTGAATATTTAGCTGTATTCAAGAGATGAATGAAATACTGTGTCTGCCTTAATGAAGTTTACAGTCAGGAGGAGGATGAATTTTATTTATCTTTTCTTTCTCATTCTCCATTAGCAGAAAGTAAGAATTCACTTGATGTTGCTTTTTGCTTTTATGGCTAAGCTTGGTATAATTGGAGTGGACATTTAAATATTCAGTTCAGTAAGATACCAACATTATAACAAATATATGATTATGGTATGTAAAATTTAGTAAGTTTGATTTGACTCACAGCTTCAGATTTTCTTACCATAAACTATGATATGACTATTATATACAGAGATTCTTTTTTCCATCTATATTTATTACCACTAATTATATTACTTTTTCTAGCTGGAAGCTTCCTTAGCAGCTACCAAGAATCAGTTAGCAGATGAAACCTTACTCAAAGTGGACCTTGAGAACCATTGTCAAAGCCTTACTGAAGACCTGGAGTTTCGAAAAAATATGTATGAGGAGGTAAAAATATAACTTAAAACTTTAAAGTCAAAACGAAAAATACTCTTACAGAGGTTGATCTTTTAAAATTATGTTTACTTACATTGGAGAATTGCCCTTTACCCATCTGAAAAGGGGTGATGTAGATAAATTGCTCAAGACCACTGCTGCTGACCAGACAAGGAACTGAAATTACTGTAATCAAAAATGTGATCTTTTTCATACACTTTCTGAAGACTTTATCAGAAACAGCTTGTTGCTGATTGGTTTCTTTTACTGATGCTTTCTTTTACTAGAAATGATGGTCATTCACAATTTTGCTTTAGTAGTTAATCCTAGTGTTTAGTACCCTGATGATCAGTCAGTTTTTTTTCCTTGATAGCTGAAAAGTGGTTAATGAGTACCAGGCATAAGTTAGGCATGAGAATGCTAACCTGTGCAATTTCACATTACTTTTGTGTCTGATGTTCTGATGGAGGGAGATGAATTGTTGTTGTCTTTTCTCTTTTCCTAGGAGATCAATGAAACCAGAAGAAAGCATGAAACGCGCTTAGTAGAAGTGGATTCTGGGCGCCAGATTGAGTACGAGTACAAATTGGCTCAAGCAGTCCATGAGATGAGAGAACAGCACAATGAGCAAGTGAAGCTGTACAAACAGGAGCTGGAACAGAGTTATCATGCCAAAGTGAGAAAATTTTTTATTGGAGTGGACTTGTGATTTCATTAGTACAGTACGGGGAACTTCTGATAAGGAACCTTCTGTACTAATGCAGGTCGCCACTTGCTCAGCAACTTAAAGTCTTAAAGAGTTGCCTGAGGTTGCAACTACAAGGTTAAGTCATTTGGCTGGGTCACATAACCAATCTGGCAGAGACAGTACTTGAACCTGGGTCTTCTTATCTTTGAGGCAGGCTCTCTATCCACTGCTCCATATAGGATGCCTTGCCTTTTTAAAAATAATTGTTTAAAAAATTTCTAATCACTACACAGGGTACAGCATAAAGTCATTGCCAGAATTTTTAGTTGCAGCTAAGTTTTACATTTCTGAAATGAATCACAAATTTGAATTGGTAGACAAATTATTCCTCTTCTATGCAGTTGCAGATTTTCTTAGTGTCATATAAACCAAGCAGTGTTGGGAATCACCAAAAGAACCGTATTTTTAATTCAGACAAAGACCTATGTGGCCAGTATGTCCCCTTGACCTCTCTCATCATGATGCAGCGGGTAGAGTACTGGACCTCGGATAGAGAAGACCTGAGTTCAGATGTGGCTTCAGAAACTTTCCAGTTGTGTGATCCTGTGCAAATTACTTAACCTACTCTGAGGATATATATGAGGCATACACCTCATTTTCCTTAACTGTAGCACCTACCTCCCAGGGTTGTTGTGAGGATTAAATGAGATAGTATTTATGAAGTGCTTAGCACGGTGTTTGGCACATAGTAGGCACTTAATAAATGCTTTTTTCCTTTCTTCCTTATTGTGGAGAAACCTAAGTCTTTCAAAGTTAATTGGGGATTTTTGTTTGTTTTAACAAAGGCTATTTATAGAACTTCATGCTATAGTAATATGCCTTATATCTGATTTTAAACAAGCTTAAACTTACTATCTCTTGATTATTCTTGGTTTATAGAATCAGGCTAGTTAATTAGTTAATTAACCTAGTAGGTTAAGGATCTGATATACTTAATATTTTTTCTGTCCAAGTAACCCACACCAGAATTGATATTTCCCAGTTATCTAATTAGAAGTTTACATGAGATGTTAAAAATTGAATGGAAAAAACACAATATTAAAAGCTTTGGGGCCATCACTAGCCTTATCATTAACTCACTGAAACTGTCCACGTAGCAAGTAATTTCACGTCTAGGGCCAGTTTAGACTGTTAGTTCTCAGTTTCAAGATCAGGAAGCTTCATGATGCTTTTCCTGTATTTAAGCAACTCTTTACTAGCAGAATTATTTATGAAATGTCTCTTGTTGACTCATGCTTCTGCTTTTGTTTAGTGCTTATTTACGTGATGAAACTGACTTTATTTTATTTATTTTGTTTAGCTTGAAAATGCTAGATTGTCCTCAGAGATGACCACATCCACTGTCAATAGTGCCAGGGAAGAACTGATGGAAAGTCATATGAGGATTGAGAGCCTTTCTTCTCAGCTTTCTAACTTACAGAAAGAGGTAAGCTAGTATTTGCTGTTCAGAATAAAAATCATCTGACATGGTCTTTATTATTTATTTATTCTTTTGCCTTGTTTATGTCTTTGCCCTAATAACAATATTGCTGTCATCTTGTGTTTATATAGCACTTTATACTTTTCAGAGAACTGTTTCACAAAGTATCTTATTTGATCCTTCTAACAAGCCTGTAAATTAGGAAAGGAAGGCATCATTACCCCTGCTTTAGAAATGAGTAATCCAAGGCTAAGTTAAATGACTTGTTCAGGGCTACGTGAGCTGGAACCAAAATCCAATAATTTCTTCATTATTTGATTCAGTCCTCAGATTTGTCTTAACTCTTCTCTATTCTTCTCTCAAACCTCATTTCTCTTACATCATTCAAGAAAGTCATTGTGAAGAATAATTACAAATGAGAAAAATGTTATATCTTACATGTATAATGTGAATGAGCTTTTTGAGCGTGAGATGAGTTAAGGTCAAGGAACATTTTTGTTAGAAATTTTCAGTTTCTTAGATGTTATTATAATAATCAAAGTTTATTTAACCAGACCCTTACTGCAGCAAGGCACTTTTCAGATGTCCTTCATTGATTCACCATCCTGTCCCCACAGAAACTTAATCAAACCTTTTGATCCCTCCTCAAACCTTGAATGAATCCCCATCCTCCTAGCTGAGAACCTTCTTTGCAAACACTGAGTCCATTTGTTGAGATCTCCTTTACCTCCCCCCTTCCTCATCTCACATCACTCAGATGCCTTCTGCTGCTGTCTTCTCTTTCACTCCCGTCTCACTTGAAGAAGTGCCCTTTTTTTTTTTTTTTTTTTAACCAAGGCAAATCCCCCTACATGCAAAAGTGATCCTATTTTATTCATCTTTTCTAGTAGGTTGTCTCCTCTGTCATCCCCACTCAACTTGTTAATCTTCAATCTCTCTCTGTCAAGGCTGCTTCTCCACTACCTACAAACATGCCGTGACTTACCCAGGTTCCAAAAACCTTCACTTGACCCACTTATCCATAGTAACTATCATATTACATCTTTCCTCTCTTAATGGCTCAAATCCTTGAGGAGGTGGTCTACAACAGATACATTCACTTTTTTTCCTCTCACTCTTCACAACTCTCTACAATCTAGCTTCCAGCCTCATCATTCATTTGAAATTTCTCACTCCAAAGTTATTAATAATCTCTTTATTGCCAAATCTAGTGATCTTTTCTCTATCTTCATCCTTTTTTCCTTCTCTGTAGCTTTTGACATTGTTGATGACCCTCTTCTCTGTGATACTCTCTTCTCCAGGTTTCAATGACACTTCTCTTTTCTACTTCTCCTTCTACATACCTGCATATCTGACCCCTGCTTCTAAATCTCCTTTGCTAGATCTTCGTCCAGGTTGTGCGCCTAACCGTAAATGTTCCCCATGGCTCTTTCCTGGGTCCTTTTCTCCCTGTATACTATTTCCCTTGGTAATTTCATCAGTTCCCACAGATTCTATTATCACCTCTGTGAAGATGATTCTAAAATCTACTTGTTCAGCTCTTATTCTTTCCTAACCTCTAATCTTTTATATCTCCAGATATTTATTTCCAATCTTAAATTGATTGTCTTGTAGACATGTTAAACTCATTGTGTTCAAAACTGAACCTATTATCTTTCCCCCCTAATCTTTCTCTCTTCTTACAGTGGAGTTTACGGCCATCCTCTCAGTAACCCTGGCTAGCAGCCTGGGTGTCATCATCAGCTCCTTACTATCTTTCATCTCCTATATCCAATCCATTATCTAATTCTGATTATTCTGTCTTTGTTAACATCTCTCATATTCTCTCGTATATTCCCTGTTTTCTGCTCTGATATTGCCACCACCCTAGTACGGGCCCTTATTACCTTCTACCTGAACTCAGTTTTGATGAAATGACTTTATGCTGTATCCTGTGTAGTGATTAGAAACTTTTTAAACAAATATTTTTAAAAGGGCAAGGCATCATGGAGTAGTGGATAGAGAGCCAGCCTCAAAGATAAGAAGACCCGGGTTCAAGTACTGTCTCTGCCAGATTGGCTATGTGGCTTCAAGGCAGTCTAGTCTGTCTGACACTTAGTTGTCAAATTGATCTTTCTAAAATGCAGGTCTGACCATGTCAGTTTTCCCACCCTACCACCCCCCAACCCCATTCAGTAAAATGCAGCACCTTCATATTACCTCTAGGATCAAATATAAAATCCTAAATCCTCTGTTTGGCATTCAAAGCCCTTCGTTACCTGTCCCCTTTTATGTTCTTACACTTTACTCCCTTCCATGTCCTCTGTGATCCATGACACTTAACTTCCTTGCTTTTCCTTGCACAAAACACTCCATTTTCTCCCTTTGTATGTTTTCAATGTCTTGCCCTCCTCATGGAGGAGGAGAATTCTCTCCTTCTTCATCTCTGCTTCATGGCTTCCCTGACTTCCTTCAAGTCCCAGCTAAAATCCCACTTTCCATAAGAAGTCTTTTCTTTTCCCCCAGTTGATTATTTCTGATTTATTCTGTATATATATCATGTTTGATTATAGTTGTTTGCATGTAGTCTTCCTCATTAGACTATGAGCTCCATGAGAACAGGGATTTTTTTTTTTTTAGTCCCCAGCACTTAGCACAGTGCCTGGTACATATTAGGTATTTAATAAATGCTTGTTGATTTGACTTTTTACATGTTTGACAAAGTGATTTTAAACTACTTTTATCCCTACAATTCCATAAGGTATTTGGTGTAAGTAGTAGTATTCCCAAGAGGCAGTATGATACTGTGGTTAAGAGTCAGGAAGTGGGGAAGAGGAGGAAGGAGATTGAGCATTTATACAGCACCTACTATGTGTCAGGCACTGTGCTTAGTGCTTTACAAATACTATCTCACAGTCTGACAAGGTAATGCTATTTATCTTCATTTTATAGTTGAGGAAACTGAGGCAAACAGCGGTTAAGTGACTTGCCTAGGGTCACATAGCTGGTGAGTGTCTGATGCCAAATTTGAACTCAAGTTTTCATGACTTTGAGCCCAACACTCCAAGCTTCCTCAGGAATACCTGAGTTTTAGTCTTGATCCTTGCATATACTCTATGACCTTGGGAAGGTCATTTAATTTCTCAGTACCCCAGGCAACTGAGGCCACTATGGGGAAGTGAAGGCAAAGACCCAAGAACAAATCCAGCCTCAGACAATGGCTCTCTGTGTGACCTTAGTCAAGTCACTTAATCTGTATTTGCCACAGTTTCCTCTGAGGTAGACGGTTGTTGTGTGGATCAAATGAGATAATATTTGTAAAGCACACTCACCATAGTGCCTAACACAAAGTAGGCATTATACAGATGCTGATTCCTTTCCCTTTTTTAAAACTAAATTGCAGAATAGTTATCAATCTTCCTTGTTGAAGGAGTTTTCTCATCTCCAGTTTCCTATAGCAATGAAGTCACAATGTGTGTACCAAAAAAAAATAGCATTCCCATTTTATAAATTAGAAAACTAAGACTCAAAAAGGTTAAGTGACTAGTTCAAGGTTATGTAGAAGTCCACATAACAATTTGTTTTTTAGACAGTTCCTACTGGATATCTCATAGGTATCTCAAACTTAACCAGTCCAGATAGATTTTGTTATCTCTATTTCCTTCCTATCCTTTTCCCCACCTTTTTTCTTCACTCTTCCTCACTTCCCCCCCCCCCCACCAAATTATTTTCCAGATCTTGCTATTTCTACCTTCACAACATGTCATACATCTGTCTTCTCTACCCACATAAGTACCACCTTAGTTCAATCACTCATCACCTGTCACCTAGATTATTGCAGCTGCCTCCTAATTGATCTTCTTTGACTCGCATCTCTCACTGACCTAGTCCTTCTTATACCTTGCTGCCAAAGTCATTTTCCTTAAGTGAAGATCTGACCATTTGATACCCCTACTCAATCAACACTAATGGCTTCCTATTGATTGCCTTTAGGACCAAGATGACAAAGTAGAAGGAAGCACAGTTCTATTCCTCCATTAAACAAACCAATTACTAAATAAATACCTTAGCTCTTTTTTGTAAGCAGTATTATATGATCTAGATCCTCTTAGGGATGAAAGTGAAAGGCTTCAGAACTCAGCTGTAAGAAATCTCATAAAATTCAAAAACAAAAGTAAAAATGAAAGACTTGGAGCTAAAAACTAAAGTGTGGAGAGATCCCTTGGGGGACTAAGTTGAAACTGAAAGACTTCAGTGCAAAAGAAATAACAAAACAGCACCTATGGTTAAGGAAAAAAAAAAATCTGTGTAAAGAGTAAAAGTCTCCACTCAGAGTGACAGTTCATTTTAGAGGGAGAAAATAGATTGAGGAATAAAAAGGCCTTAATGCGGTGAGGTAAATAAAAATAAGGAGGCTTCGGTTAGGCTTTTCCTACCAGGCATGAGCAACCTCAGATTGAACTGAAATTAGAGAAAAGACCTCTCTTTCTCCTCTCTTCTATATCTGCAGTTGACGTCTTTTTCTTTAGATGAGGAGAGGAGAACTCTGGTGTCTGGGGTAAAGGAGAAGGCACTGGTTGAAACCCTAACCTGAGGGCAGAATCTGGACTAAAGACCCTTCCTATCCCTTAATGAATGAGAGGAATTGCCTCTTATTCTCCCCTCTTCATTCTCTCCTTTCCCTCCTGTATTCCTGATGAGTAAAATGTATTTCTGCACCCCTCTCTGTGTGTATGTGTGTTCCTCCTTCCTTTGACCAATTCAGATGAAAGTGAAATTTAAGTGTTACCTACTCCTGTTACCCATGTTACCCAAATTATATAATTGTCCTCACTTATCTTCCCTCTTTTACCCTCTAGTTTATAATCCTTTCTCCCTCTCTTTCCTTTCTTCTTTTAAAATCATCAACGTTTAAAAAACAAATTTAAATAAAATGTCCAGGCCTTCTGTCTTACTAGACTCCCTCTGTGATCTCTGATGACGATAGGGATCTGAGGGGATACATATATCATCTCCCCATAAAATAG